TATTCACCTCCGTCAGAATTAAAGGAATTTCGGACGGAAATAAAATACAAATTGGTAACTTGAAAGTCGTTGCATCCTCTATTCTAATATAAAATTGAGAGCCGATTTCGAATCAGACAAGTCATGCGTTAGAAATCTGAGCAACGGGAATACTGAAGTGTCGCTAGCCTAAGACGATGGTGCAAAAGCAACCATCCAAATGTTTAGTCTAGGAATATCTCCAGTCCGGAAACGCTAAAAATTTAAACAAGAATTCACGAGCCCATTTCGTTTTGGCACGCAACTAGTGTCAACGATTGGGATGATACTCACTGCAACGTTATCATTCATCATATCTCCTCGTCAAGAATAAAGCAGAACAAAACTGATGCATCAGCTGGGTAAAACACAGTACTAGAATAAATAGGGGAAATAACTACCTGAAAGAGGGAAATTCGACGTGGTCGAGGTTCTTCCCTCGTTCAGAGGTTCCAACGGTCAAATCGTAGCCATCAGCGTAAGGACATTCGGAGAAAACCTTGCTGAAGGTGCGGGCAAATCGAACTGAGTAGCCCCAGTAATATCCGCACTTGGTAGTCGGTTCAGACGGATTGACGGCGACGCCTGGGATTTTCTTCATGTCTAAATTGAAAGGTGTCAGCTTGCTGAAGACAAAAGAATTGCCCCACTTATGTTGGATGCATCAAACTTCACGGTTAGTCTTACGTTTGGTTGAAGACATCGATCGATCTGCACATCCTGCAAAGAAACAAAACAATTAAATCATCTTTGTACCCTTTGATGTATAAAGTGCTAAAATCCCTTCATGCTGTATTACAAAAGCCTGTGTCTACATATCGCACGTTTAGATCATCATTATATCGATTTATTACTACCAGTTAATTAGCTTATTATCATATCGCATGACCAGTTCACAGTTCCGCTTTATAACAAACAACCACATGGAGAGTACCAAACGACGTAGGGAGTCACAGTGGGCAGCTTTCCAATTTTTAATCAAATCCAAAAATCCACAACTCGACTACGACCTACAATTCCCATTTTAACTGTACAACTCCTCTATTCATGCACTGTAGCTTTCAATTCTTCGCACTGTGCCGCGAATGCAAAACCCATACGCATGCGTAGCATATTTCTTGTAATAATCAAGCAGGTCCCTGGCAGTTTGTCATTTTGAGTTAGGGAAGCTTAACGTCAGACAGTGTCTCCAAAGATCCCGATCCAGGGTCAGTGTCCCAGCTTTGGTAGAAGATCAGAGTTTGGAGCAACAACGTTAGGCAATTGCCCCAGATTACATTTTCCTTCCACCGATCGGTCGAGCGAGCACTGGCAATACTGTCTTCGAAGATGTAGTTCTCTACGTCTCGTGTTTGTGTTGTAAATGAATAGAACACTCAGGATAAAGCCACGATGTGTATATCCATGTCCGAAGTGGCTGGTGGCTTGTCAGCATATGCAAACTTTTCCAGTCAATCAGCTCTCGTCTTAGACACTCCATAGCTAGAAAGCTTTTTACATGCAAACAAACACATTCACACATATATGTATACATATGTACATGAATATATAAATGCATACAAACGCACACACTTATACACAGACACCTATGGGTACATTTGTTCATATATACGTACATCGAGACAAACTGTACATACACATACAACCATATATACATGCATACATACATACATACAGACAAATATACATAAATACACTAACACATTCACAGATATATACATACGCGTGTTTGCACTAAAATTCGATTTAAAGACTCAGCTACGAAGCCTCCGCTTGAATGAAGCCTTCTTCAAGCTGACAGGCAGCAGAACTTCTAGCCTCTACAGACTGAGGTTTGTTTCTGACAGCCAGGTAGGAGTCCAACGCATTTTCAACCAGAATTTTACGTGCGGCACTTTTAAAAATTTTCCAGTGAATCGTCATCATTTGAAGAACTCCTTAACACCACGCAACAGCAGGAAGACTCGTCTGTAGAGCAGAAGGGTACGAATATTGCTATATCTGTAGATGAAATTGCACAGCCTGTGAAAAGCTTGAAAAATGGAAAAGCTGCCAGAATTGACGAAATCCGCCCTGAGATGCTCAAGGCATT